GTCCCTTCCAACCCAAACTGTTCTGTAATTCTATGTAGTTGGCAGGCTGGCAGAACACCAAAGCTGCTTCCTCTTACAGCTGGTTCCTAGGTAACGAATGCACAACAATAGGAGCAAGGCTATATGACCAAGAAGAATCTCGCCACAACAGCAGCATTTCCAGACCTTTAAAATGTGCACAGCATTACCAAGACATCTGCTTTACACAACACCTTCTTATGACCAGAGGACTGAAATAGGAGCTACTGCTTTATTGTTTGTTAACATCAGATCCTTCCCAGTCTGGTAGGAAGTATGTAGGTCAAATACAGGCCACATTAGCATGACAGAAGTCTGGGGGGGGCAGGGAACTGTTTTCCTTTGGTTTGGATGCATTAAGCAGCTTACATGATATATACATATACACAGAGGGAAGCCAAAGATCGAAGCCAGGGATGAATTTGACCTTGGATATGTTTGGTTACTGAGGTCTCATGTATCTTTTTACCAAAAGAAGCATCTCTGGTTTCAGGATCAGCTTAATCTTTAGCGTATGCCTCAGCGTCTTTCGAGGTCTATGGAAAGTCAGCAGAAGCCACTCAGGAAAGAGCAAATGGTGAGGAACGTACACTACAGGCAAAGCTTGGAAATCTTTTATTCTCCTCACAGCATTGCTTGGTTGTAAGCAGAGTCAAAGTGTTAGCTCAAATCCACCTTCTCTCTCTGAAAGCATCTCAGTTCTGCATTAGTTACTTTGACGTGGGAATGGTTGCAAAAAGCACTGTGCCTTGCCAGAGAGTGGCTGTGCTGGCTGCAGCCACTTGCCTGTCCATCAAGTCCCCCGAGTTTGGCCCCAGCAGACTGAGGTAATTTTCTGGACTTACTCTAAAGAATATCAGAGACTCGTCTTGGTTTTGTGCCTTTCAATTAGATATAGATAGAATTCAGAAAAATTTTCGAGTTGGTGTATTTTTTTTTTTAAAACTTGATGCTTCATATGTGATTAGGGTTGCGTGCTTGCAGCTCAGCTCTTTTGCAGACCACTGAAAGTATCAGTGTAGAGCAGCACTTCCTTGATGCCTTCTCTCTTAATCAGTCTATCTATCTGCAGCCTTCCCCCTGCTCCAACATCAAATGTGGCTGTACCTGTAACTACTTTCTGGGAATTTTTTTCTGGCTTGCCTTAGCATAGTTATTCCAGGCCATACAAAATTTTCCCACAGCAGTGTAAAGAGATTAATCTGTTATGGTACATGATATTCTTATACCAAAGCATATGCAGTGCTTATGGTTCTTCTCCTCATGTCCATTTCCATCCCACTTTTCCTGCACATGTGGTGTGTTATCTGTGAATAGGGTGCATTCTCCTGCAAGTAGGAGCCAGTGGCAGAATCATGGTCCCACTGAAATGAACAGGATTGATTTGTTTATATTTGCCCTGGTTTTAAGAAAGTCTGGATTACATCACAAATACTTCCAAGGTATTTGTAATGTCTTGTACAAGGAACTTAATCCTAGATATAGCCTTTAAGAAGTAGCACATCACGAGAGACAGTGGAGAGATCAGAATTTTTCTCTGGCTAAATTGTCTTTGATGCATTGCATTAAATACTGTTATTTACAATGTAATTTTTCTCTTGCTTCTTTCATGATATACTTTAACTTCAGACTGAAAAGCAATGGTCAATTTACTAGGAAATTAGACTTCTTCTTTTTCTAAAAGCAGAACTGCCTCTCCCTTTTTTTCCTTCTGTTTGTTTTTTTTTTTTGTTTTTTTTAAAAAACAACAAAACGTGTTCTAAATTTGTCTAGTGTTTGATTCCTTTAAGGAACAAAGAAAGAGAAGTAAGGCCATTGTTGTGTACTTAGTCCTTCCCTGTATCATGGAAACATGTCCAAACATTTTTGAGGAATCTAGACTCTTCAGACTGAGGTGAGGACAGGAATGTTGTGACAAAGACATGATCCGTGTACTCCCTATTGTTCCCAGATGTTAATGCTTTGGATCATAGAGGAAACATTCTCTTTTGCTTTTGAAATTTTAACAGCAGAAAGAATTGCTGATTTGGTTGCAGGACATTACACTCTTTGAGGCTGGAAAGTGTTTGATGGCAAGAAACTTCTGATGCCAAAGATGTTTGACTCTGGAAGATTTTGGGAGTCTGCTGTTTGTTTGAGGTGGATTGCTTTATCTTTTGGTAATAGATAAACAGGAGAAAACCCCATGCCTTGGCAGAATTATTCAAGAAAACTACAAAAGGTGGGCCCTTGTAAGAAGCTAAATTTTCAACTGACATAAAAAATGCAGAAATCAATGAATTTGCGACTAGAAAGTCCATCCCTTGCACAGCGTTAACTTCTACTTGGTTTTAAACTTACTCTTGTGCAGTGAGTGGCGCTCAATTATGCTGCTGTTGATTATTACTCTGTTTTCAGGTACAAAGTTCAGTCTGGGAACGGATGAGCAGAAGAGCGTGCTTGAAGACATGCCATTTTCAGACACTGACATCAATTTGGAGATATCATTTGCAGAGCAGGCAGCTAATCTCAAAGACAGCTCAGTAGGCAAAATGTGCAAGGGTGGAGGGGGTGACACTCTTCTCCCGGTAGGTGTTCCCTATTTGTTGCTCTCATTCTTTGTTTTTACTAGTGGTACTGTTTGGATGATATTTATCTGATAGTGGTGAACTGGATTTAGAAGAATGTTGTCGGATCCAGCTTCATGGAGATAGATCTTCTCAAGATAACTTATTTTTGGGAATAGTATTCTCAATAACACGGAAGTAACTGCTTTTACGCCCATTTGTGTCATTGTTGTCCATCTGGCAAAATGCACTCTATGTGTAAGCAGTAATGGGCTGGTAATACTAAGGTGGAACAGAGGCAAAGTGGTAGTTGTACACAAACTGTGTCTTAGCTTCATTTGTTTACAGCCTGTTTTCGTGTTGTGTGAGGCAAGATGCTTTACCTCTGTAGTAAAAAGCTCTATTGTCATTTAAAAAGGCTTGGTTGATGTCTGTAGAAACCTTGTGCAGTTATCCAATGCAGATAGGTGAGAGATGAGAATGAAGAACAGAATAGCCTACAGAAGTCTAAAGTCAAATGGCAGGAAATTAAGGACTAGTTTGTGCTCAGTTTTTCTTTCCAACTCTTAATAAAAAAAGGCTCATTCTGAATGAATCCAAATAAATGCAAAGGAAGATCCTCCAAGGCATTTTGTTGATCCTCAGGCATCTCTTTGAGGATCTCTCTCTACCTAATGGTTCATGAGCATGCAGTTACATATGGCCTGTAAATAAATGACTGGTGTGAGAAACATCTTTTTTTTTTCCTAACAGTGCATGCAAACATGTCTGAGTAAAATAAACGTAGTCTGAAGTAATAACGTTTCACAGTTCTTCAGACATTTAATTTAGATAAGGACATGTGCAATTCTTCAAATAGTAATTACCCCATGTGTCTTAGTTTAAACATTATAAACCAGACACTAATGGATATTTAGAAATGGATTTTAAAGTGTAGAGTCATGTTTCTCTAATGCAGCCTATAACAAGGAAACAATAGCTAGACTTTAACTTACTCCTGTATATATGCATATAAATATGTATGCATAATACATACATTAACTATACTTTTAGCTAGGCTTATGCAGGATTACTCAAAGACATGGCATGGGATTTCTTTTTCAGTGATGAAAGGAGCAGCAAAATGATAGGAAAAAGAAGGGAGTTACCCATTTAAATCTACAATTTGTATTCATTGCACCTTCGTCATTGGCAGCTATTTTTAAACATACATGTTTGTGCAAGTCAGTGAAACCTCAAGGCGGGAAACTGACTATGTGTCTACAATTCATAAATGTTTATATTTCAGTATGTGCCCTTGTAGATATGTACCATAACTGCCAATTCATCTGTGCCATTGCTGGGTGTGTACAGAATGAGAAAGTAATTCTGAAGTATAATATATCTTTCCAAATGGAAGAAAGTCTTGTCAACCTTCCTGCTTTGAGTCAGGCACAGGCAAGAGTCTTACTTAGAAGCCTGCTGGTGAGAGATGGAGTTAAAAAGCTCTATGAGCTGGGAAGTCCCTTGCTCTCTCACCTCAATTCCTTATATTGGTCTCTGACTGCAGCTTCTGAGCATTTAGTGCAGTAGAAATGAGCTATAATTAAGGATCCTCCTTTCCTAAGAAGGGAACTGCTTTATTATTATTTCTATGGCAGGCAAATATGTTATTTTGTGTGCATAAATGCAGAGGGATTTCTATCCCATTTGCACGTGCATAGAATTGTTCATGGACAGCCATTTGCACCACTGTAAATTGCAGAAGGATGCAGAAGGTGGTGGTGTCGGGGGTGGCAGGTGGTTGCAAGAAGGACAAAGCCAGACTCTTCTTTGCACAGCAAAAGGACAAGAGGCAGTGGACACAAGTGATTACAGGGGAAATTCTGTTTTGCAAAGTAAAAAAAAAGTCCCCATGAGAGCATTAAGCACTGGAACAAGTGCTTAAACACAGAGTTTATTGGGAGTTTTCAAAATTCAGGTGGACAACACAACAAGCAACCTGATCAGGCTTTGAATTTAGCCTTGCTTTGAGCAGGTAGTTGAATTAGGTGACCTCCAGAAGTCACTAGGAACCTAAATTCTCCTATGATTTTAAGATCATCTGCTTTTCAGCCTGTTTGGGGTGTTCTCCTGTGATTTAGTCAGTAACAGCAAGCTTCGTGATGAAAGGTTGTGCCCTGAAGGAAGCACAGCCTTCGAGCTAAGTAATTTGCTATGACATGGATTGTTCACTTTGCTGCAAATCTCTGCTTTTAGAATTTCAGGCTGCCGAAGGACAAAACAGGTACCACAAAGATTGGTGACCTGGCCCCTCAGGACATGAAGAAAGTCTATTCTTTAGCACTGATTGAATTAACTGCTCTCTATGACATACTTGGGACAGAATTCAAGCAGCAAAAAGCTGTAAAAATGAAGACCAAAGGTGAGTTGGTGTTTCATATTCTGAACCAAATGGGTCTGTTTTCCAGCAGAAAATTTATATTAATATATAAATAGTAACATGGGTCCTGAACAGCATTTAATTATATGCCTTAGCTCAAGGTACGCTTTAGGCAAGTTCACGTGCAAGCTGGCCAGCTACACGACCATGCTCTTTGTCTAAAGTTAAAACTCAGGTGAGTCACTAAGCAGATAAAACAAGGAGTGAAGAAGGGGAGCTGTTTTAGTAGCATGCTGTGCAGGAAGAATTGCTTCACAGAAGTTTATATGTGCTGATATATTCCATGGCAGGGCATGTGTGTGTGCTCTTTGTGGGTATTCTTTTCCTGCTTTCCTGAAGGTGGGTACTGTGCTACTTCTATGATTGGACGCAGTGATCTTAAAGGTCTTTTCCACCCTAAATAATTCTGTGATTCTACCTGGCTTTTTTGCTTTTGTTGCCTCTGGCTGGAGATGCTGGGAGCCTTTGTCACCTGCTTTCCTCTTCTGTTTGGCACAAACTTTCCTGTGTCACACAGGCCGTGCCCATCCAGTACTTACTCAGGCCATAATGCAGTTTTTATACTGAAGGGCATCATATTACGTGGAAGATTTGGGCTGTTGCAAAGGGTGTCGAGACAGCTGCAATGCGTCATTTTGCTCTGCAAACCATTGGAGCATATGTATAATCACAGTGCTTTTCGTGGGAGCATGGGACACATGGAAACCAATTTCAAGATGTTAGAGGTTTTCACTGCTTTGTTTGTTTTCTGTATTTCTGGCTTCTACAAAATGCTTTACAAGAGCTTGAAACGTGTTACCAGTTAATCACAAGCCCGCTTTGGCCTAAGCCCTGTTGTCAAGGTTCAGCGAATGTGACAGTGCAATAGCTCACTTTAAATAATTGAAATCAGCAGAGGAGGGTGAGAGACATACAGCAAGGTACAATAGATTCTTCAGAATATGCTCTTCACTTTACAGTAGTAGAAAATAACATTTTAAATGAAAAGGTATACACAAAAACTTCTATGAGACTTTGATCCCTTAAATGCATTTTGTACTTCCAGAAGTGCTTGTGCTTTCACTAATAAACAGAAACAAAACACTTTCTTCTCTTGTATTTTGGGTCTTAGTTTTAATTGATTCTTCTTACCAAATTTATTGTTAATTGAATCTCAATCATAGCATTATTATCTGAATGACAAGCAGTCATGAAAAACATTGAATTGATTAACTTTTTTTAAAGTTAAAAAAGATGGGCTAGATTCATGGTGTAGGAAATAGACAATGACATGTCACCTTTTCTGCCAAACAAATCTGCTTTTGCAGTGTAATGTCTTCAGTGCCTGTTGCTCTACCTGACCCTCGCCTCTTCACTCCTGAAATGTTGTTTGGCCAATTGATTCGTACAATGGTGACTCAGTTGGCTGTCCCCCTTTGTGCTTGACTACGTAAAGATGATGAAAATGTAATTCTTCTGGGGAATGCTGTACGGTGCCTGTGCCCAGCCCTGCCTTTCTGTTGACCTCCTACAGTTTTTTCCTCCAACTTCATCTCAGTAGAAACTTTTATTATTGATGAGATCTTCAAGATGATAAAACCATGGGATATGGATCTTGACTGTATGTACGAGTCCCTGCAGATTTTATAGGTAGGCTTTTTATGCTGATAGAGATATGAGAACTCCCTGATTTGCCACTGAAACTGATGTTTCTTTGACATATATCACGTTCCCTCAAGGGCCGACATCTTAGTAATTACAACTGTTCTGTGCTCAGTATTGGCAGCGTGTCGTACCAAGCAGGAATTTTTAGCTACATACAATGTTATATGCTGTTTCAGAAAAATGGCACATACAGCAACTATCAGTACTTCTGACTAACTTTGGTTAGTCGTTACTAGTATAGGTCTCTCAGTGGTCGTTCACATCTATTCAGCTGGGCCGTAAACACATGGGAGTCCCATTTACTTGAAGACTAAGGCTAGTTTTGCATCAGGGCTAGATTAACTGAGACTAGATTCTATTTTTTTTTTTAAATTTGCATTGCCTTAGCACTATTGTAAAGGCTATTTTCTAACCAAGACTTAACTACTTTTGCTTTTATTTAAAAAAAAAACCACAACAAAAACGGACACCTTTGGCGAGATGGTGATCTTGCTGTCCTACCAGTGTTGGTATAAAAGCACATGGGTTGAAAAGCCCTTCTTTCAAAACCCTCATAGAGAGAAGTGTTCAGAGTAACTCTGGGTGATAATTATATCGGTCTCATTTTACTCGTGCCATTTGCATCTTAACTATAGTAACTTGCATTGAGTGATGAAGATCTGCGTTGCAGGTCACCATCACACTCATTCTGCAAACCAGAACCACACAGATGGTTCACTTAGGCAGTTTGCTTCACTCTACTGCAGAGTATGTGGATGGCAATTTAAAGTCAAAACAGAAGACTCCTGATTTATGGTTGAAGGAAGAGATGAATGAATCCTTTGTAGCCAGAATGCTTTGTGTAATAACTTGATTGACGAAGACATTCAAACACTTTGAACAAAAGGTCAATAGCTCTGAATGTAGTGAATAGGCTTATTGCTTCAAAAATGTGGTTTTATGCCATTATCACAGGTACTGTAACAGATGTGGATAATATCTCTGTTTCTTTTGCTTTATTCTTCAGACTCTGGCTTGTTTGGTGTCCCACTGTCAGTTTTACTGGAACAAGATCAGAAGAAGGTGCCAGGAACCAAGATCCCACTGATTTTTCAAAAGGTAAATTGTCACAAACAAGTCAACTTGTTACATACCTGCAAATGACAAACAAATAACATTTTGTCTTGGATTTATTTGCTCCCTGTAGCACAGTTTTCAGTGTGTTACTCTAATCAATCAAAGTTATTGTAACTTTTATTTGCACCTTTATTTATTAGTTCAGTAAATGTGATACTTTGCTTTGCATCAGACATGTTTTGAGTTAAAGGAATAAAGATTAGTTTTTGTTACAACTAGTCTCCGTGATTTAGGCAAGTTTACGAATAAGCCTGTGAAAACCAACAATCAGTGTAAGAACCCACTGCAGCCAAATTCCATCTCATGAAGGTGGTCTAACTTCCATCATCAGTAGGGCTGACGTCAAGCAAAGACTTGAAATTCCATAGAAATTCTTATTCCCTTGCCCACAGGCTGAACCTACTTTTCTAGGAAGTGTTTTTCTCCTTTCAGAAGTGATTTGGGCCACAAGACAGATGGCTACAGGGTGAGAGTCAGGCTGGACAACTGCCTGTGGTGGTGGCAGCAGCCCTTTTCCAGATTTTTTGCTTTAGTACATGGGGAAATACTTTGGCCTATATCATGTCATGGTAATGGGAAAGATAATGGGAAAGATGGTGGAGACCCTGGATTTACTGTCCATGCATAGCAGGTCTCATTGCATGAGAAGGGAGAGACCACAGCGTGCGAACCAGTACTAACAGTGACAGAAACTCAGTACTGTGTCATCACATTTTCAGTAGGTTTGGGAAACTGCTTGTTAAGTTATTTTTCAAGAAACAGAAAACGCAAAGTAGTTTTGCATCACTCTCCCAAAACTATTGCTGTGTCATTCATGCCAGAAATTACTTCCTCAGGATCATAAAAATACATGTCTGGGAAAGATGCTTTGTAGAAAAAAAGAAATCAAATGATAAAAAGTGATTGATCACTGTGCTCTCCTAGCAACATAGTAATCATAGTTCTTCAGGATGAAAATTCTACATAAATATTTCTAGATTATTGATGCAATTTGTTTTGTAAGGTGCAGATGTGATTTGGAACACAGTTCTTTTTTGAATGAGAATATGAAAATAAAAATTTTCACTTTTCTTCTGCCTGTTCTCTACAGCATGTGCTTTCCAAGAACAGAGATTTGTATGAAGTGCAAGGAAGAACATTTTTGTGCATACTGCTTTTTAAATATACCTTGGTTATCACTGAAATGAAACAAACCAAGCTAATAGGAAGGCTGCTTAATTAAAAAATGAATCTTTTAATAAAAAATATATCTGATTTTTATTTCCTTGAGGAATTATGGTTAAAAATTGCAAAATTTAGCCTAGGGTTTTCTGATGGGAAAATCTGAGGGTAATACCGATCCATAATAATCTCCACCACCAGAAGTTTCTGCCAATACTGTTTCAGGTCCCTGGCCTGCTCATGAAGCCATGCAAAGCAGCCCTGACAGAGATGAAGAGGGGATTTCCTGTAGGCAGGAGGCTGGTGGTGGCCAAGGGGGCACTTGTGAGTGAGTGCGTGCGAAGGAGTCATGGCCTCCGGCAGTGCCACCAGACCTTGCCTCCTGCTAGACGAGGTGATGCGGCAAATCGCTCGTCATACCCACGGAGTCTTTCTGTCCAACTCTGGTGAAAGCCAGGTACAGTGGGAGTTGGATGCAGCCAGTTAGCACGTTTTTTTTTTCAACCAAGGAAAATATACCAGGGTGATACCTTTAGTGCTGTTTTCTATGTTTGTGGCTTTTTCTGTCTGCTCTTTTTTATGGTATTTATCAGTTGCATAAATACAGTGGTAGGTAAACTCCCTTTAATTTCTGTGACTGGAGAAAACACAGCTGTGTTGCATAATTTTTCTTACTCAAGAGCTGGCACAGGAAGGCATGTAACAAAAGCACTGCCCTAGTTAAACTTTGCGAGAACCGTTTGTGCTAAAATGATGTCATCAGCTTTTGACGTTTACAAATTTCTTTTGAATACTCTTAGATCTGTCCTTCAGTGAACGCTTCTAGGCATATCTTTTAGAGAAACAGAATCTATGATACGTGTTTTAAGTACTTTTACAGAATTTCTACTGATTTATCGAAACCACGTGTAGGATTGCAGACTGCTGAGTTTGTTAGGAAGATGCCGATATTTGCAAAGCTCAGGCTTCTTTAAAGCCTAAAAATACTGGCAAAGTCATAAAGAAGAGAGTTTGTGAGAAAGTTAGTGCTGTTATCTCTAATATTAGCTTAATTGTTTTGATTCGGAGACATTTTAACAAGGGTAGTAATTGGCATTTATTTTTAGAGCCAGATTAAGTTTGGGAAAAAACTGCGTCAGTCGTGGGAGGAGATTTGAAGGAGGTCTAAAAAATACAGTTTTGTTTTTTAATAAAATAGACAAGCTTTAATAGTGTTCATAAAACAGGTAAGAGCCATGTTAAAGGTTTTGTCCTACATCTACAACAACTGTAATCCATTTGTAAACCGTGTGTTTGTGTGTCTACTTGTTACATATGTGTGTGCACAAATGCATGCATACACATACACACACACAGAGACATATACATAAAGGCTCCAGTATGTCAGAACTATTTCCCAGTAATTTTCAAGTGGCATCTTTGTTCATGCAATTTGATTTGTGTTTGGCAGCTGATTGCCCAGATTGAAGAGGCAACTCTGGAAACAGAAGGACTTCTTAGAATACCAGGAGTTGCAACACGGATAAAGGTAACAGATTCTTAACATCCCCCAAAACTTTTACTGATTTTATTTTGTCATACAAATATATTTTAACATCAGATTGTTGTGAAAAAACTTAAACAACATAAAGCAAAATCTCTTTACAAATCAAACTGAGTTAAATTAGCCAGAAAGCTGATCGTTTCATGCTGTGGTTTTGGGGAGATGACTGGGGTTCAAGTTTGAAGGAGAGTCAAGGCTACATTTCAAATTCAGTTGTGCCAAAATCTCATTAATTCTTGGCATGAGCTTTCCAGCCTTCTGCTTTTTCCCTGAACCAGCTTAATCATCTGAACAGTTCATACACAGTCTTTGTACCCCAGGAGGAAGCTTTTCTCTGGCATTGTGAGCCTATTTTAATAGCTAGACTTAACCTGTGTTATAGGGCAAGGCAGCCAGCATGCACTGAAGAACCTCTCACATTTATTTTTATGAACAGCAATATAACTACTCAGCTCACTAAGCACAATCTTGTTAGGCACGTCCGTGCGCACTGACACTTTGCAGAGTGAGTGCCAATTACATACGGACTATTCCCCAGTATTTGCCTTAATGCAGGATGCTAAATACGCAATGTGATTCACGCCAAGAGTCAATGTGTTAAAAAGACGGTCTGAACTGGCCTTAAATTCTAAACAGAAAGGACCATTTAAGTGAATTCAGCTGTCTGAAGATGTCTGCCAGCCTCTATCATGTAGAACTCAGTCCAGCAGCTGGTTCATTAGAAACAACTGAAAGAAGAGAATATTATGGAAATTGGCTTTGTTTATTTACCAGTAACTGATATATTACTTTTTTTACAGTTTTCCGCCATTCTTTATTTTCCACTTTTCATCAGTTTTGCAAATGGGAAAGATTTTGGGGTTATTTTGTTTATTGTTTATTCTTTGATTTTATCAATGTAATATGATTTCCCGGGCAGAGGTTCATTCATTCACTATTTGACTTTCATTGGGGGTTTTTACCTCTTTATTTTCAGGAGCTACTTCTTTGAATTAAGGAATTGTTTTGTTAGCAAAGATGTTAAGTTCCTTTACTTATTCAAACAGAAAATTTTATAGACAAACAATGAATTTAGCATACTAAATGACTGATATTTTCTCTTAATTTTCTTGAACTTTTTTTCTCCTATAGAAAAAGAAAATATTTTCCTCATTATGTAGTTTTATAGAAAGGCACATATAATCTCAAAAAAAAATAATCTGCTATCTTATTCTATAGATTTTAGAGTTCTTATTAAAAGAATGCACAGGATATACCCCATAGTTAAATACATTTACTTTAAAATCTAAGCATTGGTGCATTAGGGCGCATGGCTGACATTTCTGCCCTTGCCTCTCAGATAAAACAATTCTTTTTGTCTAGATGCATTTAACACAGTGATTTGGTCTGAATGTGGATGGAGGAGCTGATGAGGCTCAGGGGGAGAATGTTCATCTTTATTTCTAAAGCTTGCTTTTGTTGATGAGCAGGAGTTTGTGGCTTTAGACATCTGAGTTAGGATCTTTGCACCTTTGAACCCCTTACGTAATCAGTGGAGACAGAAGATCTCTCTGGAGGACAGTTGAGAACATCCAACTTTTATATCAAAACCTAAGTGTCCACATTTTCTTCGGAAATAGATCCATTTTCCGTTTGGACAAAGTTAAATTTAATGAGAACAGTATCTTAAAAATGTATCTAGTATCCTCTATCCAGTATGCCCTTTTTGTCCAGATAAATAATTAAGGCCATATTTTTCCACCACACTTTCCCTCACTTCATCTCATATACTTTACAAAACAAGCTACGGTCTCTGTTTTCCTTTTCTGTCTGGAAGAACTGAGGCAAGAAGAAGGGAGGGACTTGATCCTCAGGGCTGCTGTCCCTGAGTGTACTGCGGCCACTTCCCACTCTGCTGGACTGGGAAATAAATGAAGTGGGTCCAAGGCCAGGACTGACGCTTAATGGGAGTCTAAGAAGGACTCAGTCTTTGCAGCACGTTCCCATTAATACATCTTTGGAAGCCCAGTACTAGCACTGCCATGGGAGCAATGCAGGTAGATGGTAATGTCTGCTGCCAACAGTGTCCTGCGCTTTCCCAACCCCAGAGTTACGAGGGATCACTGAGACTTTCAGTGCTGTTTATTCTGCTGCATAACCTCATGTTTTGCAGTACAGTTCCCTTCCGTAGAGGGCATGTTTGACACCCAGTGCTAGGCAAAGCTTTCTGTGCCCAGCGGCATGGAGTTCCCTGTTGATGGCAAGACAGCTTTCCAGTCACACAAATCTTTTCCCTGTGTTTTAAAAAGAGAACCAGCCTCACCTTAGTGTATGTTAACACACAATTGCCGTATTTGTTTACGAAAATGGCCATGCATGCATTACAGCAACACCCCTTGGTAGTAGTTTCAGAATTGCTATATGTATCAGCCACATCTTAATATTATGGGGGATGGGAAGTCATAAGCCTTACGTGAATGAGTATGGTATCTGGTTCTTATGTTATATTCCATATGGCCCTAAGGCAGGCCCACGGGATTTGTTCCTGTATGATTTGGCCGTCTGCTGCCTATTACTATGTGTTTGCTTGCAGTGCTTCTGATTCCAAATTTATCTCTTTTTGTAGCAAAAGATCAGTGGCAGCTGGAGTTAAGTGATATTTCAGATATCCCTTTTTTCCCCCTTTCAAAATATGGAAGGTATTGCTGTGTGTATAATGCACGACTTCCAGCAGCCAGGTGTTATTGGTGCTCTCTGTATCTACTGCCTTTCAGAGTCTTTGCCAAGAACTGGAAGCAAAATTTTATGAAGGGACTTTCAACTGGGAAAATGTAAAGCAACATGATGCAGCAAGTCTTTTAAAACTCTTCATCCGTGAACTGCCTCAGCCACTCCTCACTGTAGAGTATCTCAAAGCTTTCCAAGACGTACAGAGTGAGTAGTGTCCTTTCTGTGTCAGCTGCAAAGAATTGATACCAGAGGCAGAGAAGTGCCTCTTTGCCATAGCAGTATTTTTGCTAGTAATATGTGAAACTGTGGAACAAATTGAATAACAACAATATGACTTCTCCTGAGAAAAGACTGGGCATATTTTTGCTAATGTACAAATAACATTTTTCGTGTAACATCTGTTTTAATAGTTTACACATAAAATGAATGTGCACTGTGACTTTCTGATGTTTCTAATAATCATTAGGAGGTATAGGTGGGTTATGAGGAAATTGTGTATGATGGTATCAGTTTGTAAACAATATTTGTTTCAGAAGAAAACAGCAGCAAAGGTACAGTAGTTCTGCAGAAAATCTAACAAATGGTAATTTATAGTGTTTAAGGTATTTTATCCATTTACAACAGGAAAAGTTAGAGCAGAGTAGTCAGAACTGCTGATCATCCCTGGTCCCTTGAGATCAGCAAGTTCCTGTGAAAACGTCCTCCTTGCCAACTGGTCACCAAGACAGCAAACATACCAGCTGTAATTGAAAGAGAGAGGCTTGGTAATAATGAATCAGGAGTGAGAACCCACATACATTAACTCTCCAGCCAACACAGGAATGCAAGTTTCAGAAAAACCTATTCCCCTTGTCTGCAGGCAGAGCGATGGCTCATTTCTGAGGGACACTTTCAGGGAATTCCCATGGACAGGCAGACAGATGAATAATCTTAAAATCTGTGGGCTGTGTCAGTCTCTGGGTTGTGAGCTGCCTTTCAAGGCCGTTAGGTTGGTGGGAGTAGGGTGCTGGTGCTTACACCTTTTACATACTGGTGTTGATTTTGCGGTACTGAGCGGCAAGTTAAAGCTGGCCAGAATGCTTTCAAATGATGCTGGCAGCAAACAGCTCCTCAAGGTTGTTCCGCTTACCAGATACTGATTGGAGCCAGGAGCGTTTCTGCTTGCTGCTCCTGAGCTGTCTGAAGGCTTATGTGGTTTTACTTACCCAGAAAATACTGAGGTGCCAGGATCCAAAACACTTTCTACACTGAGCCAAAGGATTTGATGCAAAACAGACATAGCACTTCATAGCCTCCCATTGTTTAAATTGTCTGCCTGTCTTGTTGGTTACATGTAATAAGATTAGGTGGTAGAGAAAAAGAGCTGTCTTTGTGACAGTAATCAGTGTTTTTCATGATACTGTGACTAAGTAGTGTGGTTAGAATTAAATCTTTAAACAATTTAATTTGTTAATATAAATAATTTAAACAACTAAATTTCAGTTGTTATTTAGGTGAACAGAGAGAAAACCTTGATTTAAGTAACAAATTTTAATTGTTTTGGAATTGTATTTTTACTTACTTTCCTAGGAAGAGGTTGATTCTCATTGCTTTTTGAGCATTGTGACATGGTGTTTTGGAACTAAATTTAAGCCTTACTTTTAATGTCTGTCTTTCTAGAGCAGGTAGATACACTGTTATCACTACTTGCAAGTCTTAAATGGCTCTATAGTTTGTCACTAGTTTATTCAGATCCTTAATTTTTACTATGGTAGAAAGTCAGCAAGGGATTTTCTTTATTTCTACTGATGAACTTGTTTTTTAGCTGTATCTCCCAAACTGATTTGGATGAAATGTATTTGAAATAGCAGTTCAGTTGGAGTCCCAGCAGGGTGCATGAGAACAACCCTGTTGAATTTTGAAATAGTGTGATAAAACTATGTCAAGTGCAGGTACCGCCTTCTTCACTTCTTTTATGTATGGCCTGATTCATTAGGAATCTGCTGAGAAGACTTGCCAGAGCATGTCCTCTAAAGCATGACAGGAGGAAGTTTATCACAAGTGACAAACGTGAGAGAGTTGGGGCTTTCTGCTGCTCAACACTGCCAGAATGTAGGAGCTCTTCTAGGAGGTGAGGGAGTGCAGGGATGCCCTCATCCTGCATCTTGGGTTAATGACGCATCACTGAGCAATTGGGTAAAAGGCAGAACCAATATCACTTTTCTTTAATTATAGCTTGCCACATTTGGTATGGCACTCACTGCTGTAGATATGTGTTAGGCTGCTCTGCTCTTGGCTTTATCCCCACTGGTTTGCCATTGCAGCTGCTGCTGCTTATGTCGCTGCCTTATTCAAATAGCAACACGTGGTATTCATTCTGCGTGGGTGACTTGGGAGGCCATGCAACTGTTAAGGCAATCAGAGAAACTGTGAAAGCAGTTTTGAATATACCCTTTCATATGTTGGGGCACAGGCTCAAAAAGGGAGGAACTGTTAGCTGACTATTCCTTCTTTTAACATTGCAAAATAAAGAATCACAAGGCATCTAGAAAATATTGCCAGAAGACTGCAAGTCATACAGCAACTGAATCCTAAAAGAACATTTGGAAATGAGTATCAGAAAACAAGGATCTGCCAGTCCTTTGTCATACTATGACAATTAGCCATGTGTATGCATTCAGCACTTTGCAAGGGGTTTCCACTTTGAAATCATGCTTTTTGAAGAGGACAAATGACAATTTTAAAATACTGAGGTTCCTGTGCTTCACTGGCAGATCTTCCAACGAAGAAGCAGCAACTGCAAGCTTTGAATCTTTTGGTTCTCCTTCTACCTGAAGCAAACAGAGACACTCTGAAGGTTAGAATTGCTAATACCTTTTTCCTGCACAAGTATTTTGTCTGTTTCTGTGAATCCACTGTAATGAATGCTGTTGTCTTTTAAAATTCTTTTCTTCAGTTCAAAGTTGATGCTGAAACTAGTGATTCTTTCTTTTTTCATATTTCACAGAACTTCAGAAAAAAACCCCTTAGGACCCTAATTCCTCCCAAATGACTTTTAGGAATGTCACTTGAAATTTTTCCAGGAGATTGCGATAATTATCTCCCAGTGAGCGACCTTTTCTCTTACAAGTTTCATTCCTTTTTTTTTTTTTGCAGCAGTCATTATCTCCAAAGCAAAAAATAAACAGTGTTAGAATACACAGATGGATACATATATAAAAATACCTACTATGGATGGGGGGTTGCTTTAATGAAATGGGTTTAGCTCTTCATTTTTATTTCCCACTTTTCTGTGTGCTATTTGTTTCTACTCTCAATAATCGAGAAATTTACACTTCCTATTGGTATTTGCAGCACGTTACATGGAGTCTTCCAATTTGGGCTTGTCCTTTTGTAGCAAAGCTATTAATCTTTTTCAGAATATGCTTACTATTAAAATTGCTACAATCAAAACTGAATTTGCAGGATTTGTGTAGGATGCAGAGCATCTTCTATTACAGGCAAAAATTCCTATTAGGTCTTATTGCTTAAACATTACTTTCTTTTTGAGTTTATTTACTGTGTGGAAGCAGTCAGGGGGGCTCCTGAGATGAGTTAAAAATATCTGGAACTGAATTGAAGATTGTCAGTTTATAACTGGCTACCTGTCATTCACAATGCAGCGGTTCACTCACAAATTGCTTACCTTACAGAACTAGCCACTCCGTGTTTCCATAACCATGACAGCTGGCACTGTTGTGTTCACTTTCAATTTAAGAAAAGCCAACAGTAATGTTTTCACAAGCATCTGTGGGATGCTACTTATGCATCGACATAACAAGGGGTTTGAAAAAAATCTTACTGTGCAGGGCTTCAAAGTCACTTGAATACTTTTGAAAATGTTACCCACAAAAATAACGAGAATGATTTACTTCATCACTTAAAGGAAACAAAACTTGCATTACAGTCCTGAACAAACATCTCCACACTTCCTATTATTGATTGCTTTTAATGTGGTTTTATTAGGAATGAATAGCTTTTTCCAAAAATATGTAACATCATGTTTCACTCATAACTTTTATACGTGCGGAGTTGAGCTGTAAGTTCTGCTGTTCTTTCAGGTACTGCTTGAATTCCTCCAAAGGGTAATTGATCATCGAGACAAAAATAAAATGACGTTAAAGAATGTTGCGATGGTGATGGCCCCAAACCTTTTCACGTTTCATGGGTTTGGCTCAAAGACTATTGAACAAAGCGAGTTTGTAATGGCAGCTGGAACAGCAAATGTCATGCGCTTTATGATTCAGTACCAAAAACTTCTCTGGACAGTAAGTGTATTCTTAAGGGAGGGCGGGGAGGGATCATAAATTTCGCAAACAAGGCATCTGAACAAAGAAGTGATATGAACTTATTTCCATGATTTAGAGAAAGATCAGCCCCATCCAGCTGGGTTCTTGCTCAAAGGTAACTCTTCTGGGAGAGAAACAGAATCATTACATCTTATGGTAGACTTAAGCTCTGATGGTCAGAGTTTTAATATTGTATGTACCATATGCGAACTCAAAAAGAAGTCCTAGGGGGATCTTTGTATTTGGCGTATCAGTATACATTGTTATGAGGAATTTATTCTTTTCTGCTTGGAGATATTAGCAGCAGGAAACACAGTGTTTTAGTGCGTTTCCTTTTTGGGCCAAACTTCATATTATATAAAACATGTTTTGACAAAACATGAAGTTGTGTCATAGTCTCAAGCAAAGCTCTAACTTAGACAGACTGGAGAAGTTTGGGCTTTGTTGTCCGTCAGCAACTCTAACCAATTTTGACCTTTGCTGCATGTGAGGAAAAGTTTTTATCACCATTGTACAGATTAAGTGTTGAGTGAATTTTTTTGGCTGAGGAAAGTAAAAACGCTGCATTATTCCACCTCTCTTCCCCTGAGAGCTCACTGAATGGAGTATAACATCACAAATGGAGTGGTTTTTAAATGGTTTCAAAGCTTTGTATTATTTGAATCTTTAATTATTACTGGAAATAAATACTATTTTTTTGAGTTCTACCTGACAATCTGTCAATTTACAGAGTTTTGATAAGTTACTTACTTAAGGAAATTATGTAGATATTCATACTTACTATCTGTATTTATTTAGATTCCTAAGTTTATTGTTAACCAAGTGAGAAAACAAAACACTGAAAGCCAGAAGAAGGAGAAAAAGGACAAAGCTATGAAGAAACTTCTGAAAAAGATGGCATATGACCGGGAAAAGCATGAGAAACAGGAGAAGACCCCTAATGATGTAAGGAAACATACATCTGAAATACTTTTATTACTAAGACTATCATCTCTAGTGAAAACGTGGATATAGCAGAGGGGATGAGCTACATTTATATAACTACGAGTTTCAATAGATAGCAAGTTAATATGGGTTTCATAGTTTATCGGTTACCAGCATGACACATTTAGAGGGCTGCCGCTGTTTGTTTCTTTGTTTGTTTGTTTTCCCAGATTTTTCAAAATATTTCTATTCTGAAAAGTGATGTCCCACAGGTTGTTTCAATTTTGGCATCTGAAACAAAAGTCCATTAGGTCTGTATCTGTAGAGGGAGCAAGTGCTGTGACAACAGTCAGTATTGCTGTACCCACGTTTAGATCCATTGTTGCCCAATGGAAGTCACAGCAGACCATGTGTTTACTTAAAAAATGAACGTCTAGATTTCACTATTTGATATTTAATAGTGTTTGGAAAAAAGTTAGCATTTAATCCTTCTTCCTCCTACAGGAGTTCCCAAACCACTGAACTCTCTGCCTCAATGAATCTTTTAACTATCCTTGTGAAGTGGAGCATGCTAGTCCATGCACAACCTGCCCACCCCAAGAAACCCGAAAGGATGAAACAAATGTAAAAAAACTGATAAACTGCTTCTTATGCAGCTATTGTCCAAGTTTCTACTCCCAATTTACCCCCATGTATATATTCTACAGTTCAGTATTTCTCCATTAGGTAATTGACTTTTGCCAGACCCATCGGTGATGTCAAGGCATTAGTTTCAGTGTAATGCTCTTCAAACACTCTTTACAATGAAAAAAAAAAAAAAATCCTGTGGCATTATAGTGTTAATTTTTCATGTACTTGAGAATTATTTTAATCGAACTGTTCCCACTGACATCAAAACTTTTCAAAAATAGATCTCCTGTACCTTAAAATTGCTTATTATTTACGATTTCAATGAAGTTAGTAATTACAATTTTTTGGAGCTCATTAGCCTATCAAGTGTGATATCTTAATTGTAGTGCATTGAAAATACATAATTCCAAAGTTATTTTAAATACGTAAACAGGTAACAGCAAATATGTGTATCCTGATAACATAATGAATACATACACGATTTAGGTGGTGTGAAGATACCACCTTGTGTGTTGAAGTCGTACTGAAGATTCTGGTGAATTAGAGACATCTTGTGGTAGCTTGTAAAAATGCATTTGTCTGAACGGTCTGTGTTTTTCTTAGCAAGTATGTGTATGGCAAACTTATGAAAAAGGGTTGTCATATTCGAATAAAGGCGCTTTTTTTTAAGCTATTAAGCAAAACAATAGAATATGGCAAGTAAATATGCGATAATATCCCTCAAATTTGGTTTGCTCTTCAAGTATGTGGGGGTTTTTTTGGTTGTTTTTTTTTTTTGAATGTGCAAATAGCTGGATCCTTTGGGCAACTGCATCCAGTATCTGCCAGAGACTTGTATTTCAGGGTTCCTAACTCATTTTGTGCGCAATATTTGACACATCTCTTAGTGTCCAAAATTAATTCATTCCCCAGCCATCACTTTGCCTTACTTTCATTTGTGCCTGTATGAAGGGATCTGTACACAGAATGAGGACTTACATACAATTTTAAAATAAAGCTAATTAAACACTGACGTTCATTTTACTCTATCTAGTAAGAAAAGAATTCTTTTGAGTACAATTCAGCTGAGTTATGATGAGATGACACTTAATGCTGCCATCCCCTGTTCAACTCAGAAATAACAGCAAATACACTGAAATAAGCAAATACTGTTGCAACTTTAGGTATTGGATTTTTTGTAATTCAGTGCTCTTGGTCTTTTAGAGTAAAATACGCCTTTTTAGTCCACTGGAGAGTTAGAGCTGAAGTCTCATGTAATACATTCTTGCTAAAATGTAAATGTAAAGTTACTATTCAATAATTTTCTTTAAGCCCTAGAATTCTGTGGGGATTTTCTTCAAAATTAAATGATACAGTTTTTCACAAATCCTTCATGCTTATTTGAAGCATTCAGTAATTTGGGTGCCTCAGAACATTTTACTCTTAAAATCATCTTCACAAATTGATAAGGCTTCATTGTAAGTGACAATTTTATACATTTTTCCAAGTAAAAAATTGTCTCATTCTTTAAGGAAAGTTTGTTGGTGTTTTTTGTTGGGTTTTTTTCCCCCTGTTTTCAATTTATACTGCCTTAACTTGAAATTGAGATGACTTTTCTGTGAAGTTCCTGAACTGCGTTTCACTATTAGATGGCAAGTGAGGCACTGAGACTTGTGGTGAATCCCCCACTCCAGTGAAAACTGTTTGAAACTTTTGAGGGCTAATTATCTTGTGTGCAGCTGAATAAAAACTAAGTAAAAGTTGCTATTTTCTACCACATGCTGTGGCACCCCACATGGTTAAACATAGATGGACAGAGCTTGAGTCACTTTCATACTCTCCAGAAATACCTCAGTATCTGCATTCTTAATGGCATACAGTTCATTTGGATAAAATTTCATCGTATCTCTGCTCAGGCCTCTCTAGCATCACATTTCCTCTTTTAAGTAAGAAGTTAAATGGCATTTACTGCAACCTTTGGGCAAGATCTCTGTACAGCGCTGAGAATGTTTAATATTAGAGGGCTCATGAGGGTTAATTGAGAGTGGTTAATATTAAATGGCTTGTGAGAGATAATTGCTTTTTTTGGATACCTATGCAGACCTATGGCCCCAAGTCAGTGTTAGGGATTAAGTCCTTGTGTTGCTGTTGGGGTGCATAATGCTTTAGCCAGGCAAAGAAAGATGCTCTCAGGGCTGGAAATTTACCTACTAGCATTAGCCAGATTATACCATCTGTCATTGTATACCTCTACATGTGGCAGTTGTTCCAAAAAAAGGAGCAGTTGTGTTAGCAGCATAACACAATGCTACTGGGCTTATCAGGTTAAAATACATGTTAGAATAACCATTGTAGCCCATAGTAGTTCTGTTTGCATAACCTGTTTGAATTTTCATGCTGTAACGTTACTGACTCTTGGCCGAATTTGTTACGTGTTGCACTGCCAGATTACTTACTAAGAAAATTGCTACCTGCTGAATCATTTTTCTTTATGTAGTTCTACAGTTGTTTGTCCCAAACTAGGTGCAACACTTTGCAGTTCAAAGGGAACAACTGCATCACATTTCTTTCAGACTTGGATTCCCGTGTAGCAAGATCCTTTTGAATTCCAGTTTTGTTCTTCATAATGCTTGTGCCCCATTCCCGCTTGGTAGCATTTGCACATTTAATAAGTATATATTATATTCCGTCATCTGAGTCGTTAGTGAAAATACTGCAGTCACTTTGTTCCTTTCTTCGTCTGGCCTGATGAATATTTAAATGTGTCATGCAAAATGGAATAGGAGAATCTGGAAGAGACCCACCCTAGATCCTATAGCCAAGCAGCCACAGTTCTTTTGTGATACATAGATTCAAGTCCCCCTGAAAAGAAAGGGTTTGAAAGAAGATGAGTACCTCACAGCTGACTGCTGTGCCTGCTACAGACTAAATGCTGTTGGCCAGTGTATTTTCCATCAACTGAAGCTGTGTCTCTCTCCAGGTTTTTAAAGTGTGCAAGTACCCAGCTCGGCCAGAGGTTTCAGTGTTGTAAACTTCATCCTGAGAAAGCCTGTGAGGCAGGAGAGGGGACTGGCAAACTAAATAGTGTAGGTGACCCACCCTTCAGCATAGTCAGTCACCTTATAGGTACTTGGCTTAGATGTTGTGATGTGGGCCCCTAACTTGGATTTTGAACTGTGCTGTGCAGAGAACCGGTCCTTTTGTGGCTCTGCTCCTAGATGGTTTATGGCCACGTTTTCTTTCCCACCAACTTGCACAGTGAATGGGCTAGAGGATGCTCAGTATCTGTCCTCTCTGTAGTTGGGCACCATGAACATACTGTGCAGCTGAGCGTGAGTTCTGTAAATGCAGGTGGTGAAAGTGGCAAAATGCAGTCATTAATGAGCAAATAATGATTCTGTCTGAACAAATGAAGTAATTATTCTGTTTGATCTGTGACCATAATGTTACAGCTCTGTGGACATTTTTTGTTCTTTCTGTCATCTACTTAAAGCAAGCACGTTTTTAAGTCATTTATCATATGCCTGCTGTATAGGCAAAAAACCCCTGTTATCCAGCTGAAGGTTGGACAAACTCTATTAAAATCAACTGAGACAAAATGATACAGAATCGTATATAAAAAATGAAAACCAATTTAAGTTTACCATGATGAATTTGATGAAAGAGCAATTGGGGACATCTGTAAATAGCCATTTCATCTTAAAAGTTTCCTTTCCTTTTGCCAACAATTGGAAAAGAGGTAAATCTTAAGCAGGAGTTAGCTTCCTAGCAGATGGCTGCAGCCACTGTTTCCAACCATGGAAGCCTTAAAGGGCAGATTTGACAAATTTAGGGGTAAATGTATGGAGTTGCTCTTTGAGATCCATTGCAATCTTACAAATCTTCGATTCCACGATTACTACGAAGCAAATTCTCAATTTGGTGATTCTTAATGCTTTAGACATAAATAGTTGTTAATGTCTAGTATTTTGAAATCAATAAATCACAGAACTGGATATAGAAAGATTGTTTGGTTAAAATTACTTACCTTAGCTCATCAGTTGTATAGCAATGAGTATTTAACTTTCTCAGGAAGCTGCACTTCTGATTCTGCTCACGTTTATACTCGTTCTATATTCGTTTAACTCTGATGGTTTCAGAGAAGCTATTCTAGATTCACAGGTGCCCAGATTTGTTCATTGATTATGGAAGAAGAAATATTCAGCCTTACAATTGCAGTAAATAGGGGGAGAAAGAAGAGAATGAACTGTCATAATCAACCTTGACTATTGAGACTCTTACATTTCTTTTCCTATCAAAATGAGTACATTTGGGTAAATGGTAATGTAATACGAATAGAAAAATTACCTCAAGATTTCGAGGAACAGAAATTAGGACCTTATTCACAAATAAATTATGCCTTTTGTAGCTTCAAGTGTCATGTACTGCAAGATGAACAGAAAAACTGTCCTTTGGAGCCCTCCTTCTCTGTAACTAATATGATTGATATTCATCATCAAGGATTTTGGGGTTGAAATAAAATACAAATCCATTATGTAGTCAGACCTGCAGGTTGACTAGCTGAATGTATTCTGGAGAAGAAAAAATAGCGAGAAAAAGCTGCAGTAAAAGGAAATGATATTTGAAAAGAGGAATCACGTAAAGTAGGCTGACCCATGATACTTTGTTACTTCTTTTTTTGGCATGAAATTCAGATTAAATGAAACTGGAAAGATTTCTTCTGGAAGTTTTAGCCGGGGAGTGGTGCAGGGGGTTTGCCTGGCTTTCATGCCTGCAGCAAGTTATTTCCATATCAATCTCATATGCTTCTTACCATACCAAAGTCTGTTCTTAACATAGCAGTAATTGTTATTGTTATTCTTAACATCTTTGAAAAATAATTAAGCACTAGTATTCTTTTATTCTAAAGTTCTCCCTGCTGTTAAAAAGGGATTTGAAGGTCTGATATAATTTACTGAATTACTGTGTAGTTATCATATTTCTGCAGTGAAGTGTAGTAGATAGTAGTTAAGTACAGAGTACTGTACTAAGTTACTTATTCCATACTGTATTTTGAGAAGCTCATCAAAGCCAGCTGCTAGCAGCTTTGTTCCAACACTGTTATTGCTTTGCAGGCTGATGTTCCTCAGGGAGTGATACGGGTGCAAGCGCCTCATCTTTCGAAAGTTTCCATGGCAATACAGCTGACGGAAGAACTGAAAGCCGGTGATATAGTAGCCAGGTTTCTCAGCCAGAAAAGGTGCACATTTTTGTTTTGTTATCATTTCAGGAGAAGTGGCTTTTCATATGTTATAGAAAAAAGTTTTAAAATACTTTAAGTCCAGGTGAGTTCATTAACTTTTTGGCCGAATTTAGCCATGAGAATACATGCTTCAGGAATTAACTTAATGCTCCTCACAAAGCCTTCATGAATATGTGAGTGCTGTTAGTAAAAGAATAACTATTTAACTACTGTTTAATCTGATGGGTCAGGAATAGTTTTGTAACTTTCTGGGGACAAAACAGAAGGGAACTCCAAGAAAATAAGTCTAGGAAAGAAAGGAATGAGGAAAAGAGAAAGAAGATACTTTGCAAAAAAATGCATTTATATATAGCAACAGTGTAGGTATTGGGATATAAATATGTGCAAATGTCATGCATGCGCAGCAGAAAGCTACATTTGAGTCACCCAAATCCATTTAGAAAGTAAGCGGTTTTAATCAAGCTTTTACGTCTATTTTATATATATATGAGCAAAGTAAGAAATCAGAATAGACTTAGCAAAATAAAAAAATTAAACATACCTATGCATCATACATAGCTATTCAAGCTAAAGCAATAATATGGTACACTAGTTGAGGTTAAGAAGCTGCTTTTTCCTAGTTGTTCTTTGTAGAGGTTTACAGTTTTGACAGAAAGTTATTTCCTGGCTGTGCCTTAGCATATATTATTGCGATTAAGCAGTGAGAATAATAGAATCCCTTTGTAATATGGGGACTTTATTCTTCCACTGTCTGTTTTTCACTTCTTTTAGTTGCAGCAAAATTAAAACCAGCAAGAATGTGGTTTCTCCCACCCAACCATAAGGCTTTTCCAGAAATATGAGGGGGGATGCTTTGAGGGGGATGCTTATTTTTGCAGCAGAGGTGGAAGAAAAATCAGAGGGTAAAAATCAGGTTACTTGCTAGTAACAATGGAATGCTTTTCTAAACCTCACAGTTTCTTCACATCTATCTTATTTTACCTTTTCTATAGTGTCTTACTCACATTCAGGGCCATTCATTTGCACTAGCATGCAAAGGTGTTCGTATTCACTTGCTTTATCGGTAAATGAGTATAAACACGAAGGGTTTATGACAGGTACACTCTGATCTTTACTAGCATAATTTCTCCCAGACACGTCTAAGTGGCTGATGTACAAGCTCTTTCGCAATACAGTTATTCATTGTGTTTTGTTCCTGACAGTGGAAATGTCCAAACGCTCAAGAAAGAAGAGGTCTTTCTTTATGAAATAGGAGGAAATATTGGTAAGAATGGCTTCTGAACAACTTCTTTTGCTAGAATACGATTCCTTGGCACATTGTCCATGGCTTTCACTGTGTTTCCATTTTTATTCATGTCCCTAGTTCTCCCTGACACTGAGGCAGACAGTTAACCTTGGGGAGAAGGAAGCAGAGATGTTGATGTGATCATCATAGTAGTAGTATCTTATTATCTGTCCCAGAGGAAGACGGCAGCTGTAACAGATGTTCCTGATATGTATGTACAGTGAAGAAGTGCAGAAAGGTTGGATAGGAAGGTGCTTGAAGTTCATCTTATTCATCTCTTTGTATTGAAGCATAATAAGTGAACTTACAGTCCTTCATGCTCTGCATTTGAGCATTGCTTGCAGGTTCCTTTGGGGAAAGAAATACTCAACCAGAAAGATGACCTAGTGGTAAAATTTTCCAACAAGTTAAGTCTTTCCTGCTCTTTGTCTTCCAGACCTTCTTGATTAAAGCACATAGCAGATCAGCAAGGTTAACGCCAAAGGATAGTTTTGAACACAGTTCTAAAATTTTCTTCGACAAATGCAAAAGTATTTTTGCATTGAGAATCAGTTTCTAATAACAGTATTTTTCCTATGTTCAGCAAAATAAAGTGAACTAGAAAACAGTATTGTATTGGACTTACATTTGCTTTTTTCTCATTAACTGTGACCTGTTAAACTTTATTTGAAATTATAAAATGTCATGAATACCCAGTACTTCTGTACTCTGCAAGTTTAAATCCCATATGTAAATTGCAACTTCTAGTATTTTTCCTTTTTATCTAATCACTATTTTAAATCAGTTATTTTGTGTGTGTGTGTCTAAACAAAAAGACTTACAGTAAATTGAAAATAACACTTTCCTCTGTTCCCTACAACAGATATGTTTTACTAAGTCTGGTGGCAAAAAAGAAGTTACTAAGAAAGCTGGACGCCAGATTACTGTATTATAAGTTCTCTTGCATATCCAGGATGTACATACATTTGCTATGCCTGTTAAAGCAGGTTGTGATCCCAGATGTAAGACTTTTTTAAAGGAGAGGAGTATCTTGTTTATTGTACAGAGGTGTAATCATTGTAGAAAAAAGTTTTTGTAACTGGAACAACCTACTGTCACTTTAAACATGTGACAGAAATTGTATGTCGCTTGGAGAAAATACGTGGCTAGTTGCAGATTTGTTTTGTTTTGTGATGAAACAGGATAGAAAGCTTAGATGTTTCCTCTGAGTGGTTTACTTCCAGACAATTTCAACTTTAATCAGCCCTTACAAATACTAGTCCTTATTAATTCTCTCAGTTGCGATAAGAGAAGCTCCCTGACTTTAACCTGCTGTACGCATTTAAGTAAACCAGTTGTCTTGTTCTTTGCCATTTCTCTCTCTGCCCGATGTGACTGACCCATGTGGAGGGAGCCCAAAAACGAGAAGACTTGACAGGCTCGTGATACAGTCATATGCTTACACTTATGCTCATAATTGTAACATGTGCAATGCTGTGATCCTGTCC